AGACAGACAGACAGATATACATACAGACAGACAGACAGACAGGCTGACAGACAGACAGACAGGCTGACAGACAGACAGACAGACAGACAGACAGACAGACAGACAGACAGACAGACAGAGACAGAGACAGAGACTCTAGGTAAATAAAACATACCTGAACTCGTTGCAGCGTCAATAAGAAGTTTGAAATATTATGGCGCGTGGAAAGGTCTTCTTCTATTGGCTTGTGGGGGTCACGTGCCGTCCTGTCTCTATGGCGACCGAGACTGACGCTGCGCCGCTCCCTGCGCGACATGGCTGCCTACCTCACGATGTGCCCATGTGAAATCTGAGAATCGAGAGCCAATACATAATTAATAATATATTTCTTGTTTGAGTTTGAATAAAGAGAAGCACATCGACACAAAGGGCAATGGTCATGATTTAGAGAAGGGAAAAGGTAAAAGACAGACAGAAATAACAACTGAGGGAAAGTAAAGAAGTAGGACCTATCTGTGGCGCCTTCCAACCACCCGCATACACATTTCCGTTAGTGCGACCTCTTTTCGAAATCAAATAGGCGTAATGCCATTTGTCACATTCTTGCAGAAAGGGCCTATAAGTAATTATCAGGTATGTGAAATGAAGTCAGCCGGTGTCTGTGGTGTTGCGGTTAGAAGCTTCACTGTTGCACGCAAGACACCTGAGTTTGATTCTCGAGTAGGGAGACTTTGTAATCGAGCATCTTTGTCTTTCTGTTGGGATGCTGTATCCCACCTACTAGTCTGGATTGGCCCTGACAGGCAAGGGTGAAAGCCTGTCTCCTCAATGATCTATACTGGGTTAATGGGGGCGTAAAAACACATGCAATTGTTTGTAATAAAGTTTTACACAAAAAATAATAGCTACAGAAACAGCAGCAGCAGCAACAGCAGCTACACCTTTAATATGGTCACTGCAGTGAGTTTGTGTACACTCTTTGTATCCGTTGTCCTCAAGGCCAACCAACGCACCAACCAACGCACCAACCAACGCACCAACCAACGCACCAAGCTCCTAGACCACGAGCGTCAAACTCAAACACTCACGGGGCGTAGTTAAAATTACACTTAAGGTTGCAGGCCAAACCGGATATAAATCTTGGCTTATTCACCACTGGGATACCTAAACATCTTTAAGATAATGGTATAATTAATTCAGATTAAAGTTATAACAACAATCCAAGACATACCAATTTTCTCTCTAATGCCAATTTGTCAGAGCTGTTTAGCATCTTTTATTAGCAACAAGTTCATTTATGTTTGATGTAAAGTTCTGCGTTATAGGGATTCTCGCCCCCCCTAGGGCAGTGCCAATGACTGAAGTGTCTTTAGGCCATTCCCAAAGGGGGACATTAACTTTTTCGTATGCAAAGTAAAATTGTAAATGGGCTGACTTATCAAGGTCAAGCTCATACTGTGCCGAAACAACGTAGGGGGAACTGCTGCTTTTTCTTTCCTCATCCTTCCTATCGTCATTTTTCGTCTACTTCCTTTGTATGTTTGTCACTCTCTTGTGAACTGCTATTTTCGGGGTGCCTTGATAGTTGAAGCAGACTTTGTACTGTTGAGGCTAGAGAGGTGAGCAGAGTAAGCCTGATTCCCCCTTTGGACTTCTCTGTCGACGTCCACCCCTTGGCGCTCATATGGCCGTATGTAGTTGCTAGCGCCGTAAAACCTTACTATCTAAAACAAACGAACCTCCTAGAGCAGGGATGTCAGACTCAATCACTCATGTGGCCAAACTCAGATTACACATAAGGCTGCAGACCAAACTGAATACTCATTCTTTGAACATTGGAAACCTAAACTATAAAAAAGATTTGTTTTTACAAACAATCTTGAGAATTAAAACAGACAAAAATTATCTAAAACAAATCAAGGCATACCAGTTTCCGCTCTAATGTCAATTTGTCCGAGCTGTTTAGCATTTTTTTTGGGCAACAAGTTCATTGATGTTTTTAGTGAAGTTCAGCGTTATATATAGAGATTCTCAGGATGGACTTCCTTAATAAATGTTGTCGTGGGCAGGATAGAATTGTTCGCCGGGTCTTATGAAAGGATTGCTATAAAAAGTTACAGACATTACTCCGCTTGTGAAAGTAATCTACTAAAACTAACTAAAAACTGTGAAAGTAAGCACACAAGGTTTTTTTCCCCGGAAAGGCAATTTAGAGCAGCTTGTAGAAGTACAGAAAACAACAGAATAATACCTACTGATTGTGTAAGAAATAATACGTTTTTATAAACCTACTACACGTAATAAATGTTATAATTATGTTGTAATATCTGCATAATTATCTGTCCACGTTTGTTGCTTTTGTCCAAATTACAATGTCACGTCTTCTACAATGGGAATTTGAGTCTAGGAAAGAGCCGAAGATTAAGATTACAATATCTCGGAAATGACGACTGAAGGAAATTCCAGAAGATTACGATATCTCCAAGATGATGATCAAGAAAGTCCAGATGTTTACAGTGTGAGTGAGATAGCCCAGATGATTACAATGTCAGTGAGATAACGGCAAAGGGAAAGTCCCGGAGGTCGCCATACGAGGCAAGAATTCAGACAGGGGCAAGTCACGGCATGTGCATGTACCGTCAAAATAGATTAAGTTTTAATAAAAGTTTAACGACACTTGCGATACAAATAGGTCATATAAGTGCCGAAGATTAGAGGTGTTATTAGTTTTAGTTTTAGTAGAGGGTTTTACGGCCCTCGCAACTGCATAAGGTCATATGAGTGCCAGAAGATTAGAGGTGTTACAAGAGAGTAACAAACATAAAAAGAAGAAGGGGAGATAAGGACGATAGATGTTTGACAGGAAAGAAGAAGCAAACCACACCAGAGCACCTGCCAACCATCCACAGGTGTTATTAGAGAGTAACACACACACACACACACACACACACACACACACACACACACACACACATATACACACACACACACACACACACACACACACACACACAAATAAGTAAGAAAGAAAAGGACGCTGTATGTTTTCATTTTCGTAAGAGTTTTACGGCACTTGCAACTTGCAACACAAATAGGTCATATAAGTGCCGAAGATTAGAAGTGTAACTAGCGAGCAACATACAAAGAAAAATATTAGGAGGAAAGAAAAGAACGATATAATATGTTTGATAGGAAAGAGAGAGAAAATTACACCAGAGCACCCTCCAGTCACTCATCACGATATATGTAAGATAAGGATCGAGAGAAAGTCCAGAAGATTACAATGTTAGTGAGATAAGGGTCACATGACAGTCCCAGAGGTCGCCACACCAGGCAAGAATTCAGACAAGTTAAGAGCAAGTGCATGAACCGACAAAAGACTCGCTTACACGGTGTAATCTATACGCGTCTAGGCAGTAATAGTAGGACTCTTTGTCATGAGTTTACTTAAGTTTTAGTAAGAGTCTTACGGCACTTGCAACACAAATAGGTCATGTGACGTAGATTAGAGGTGCTACTATTCAGAGAGTCACAAACAAAGAAAACGAGGGGGAGAAATGAGTGTCCACCATACGTAATAGAAGGTGGCCAGTCTCCATTTCAATTTGAAGAAATTGAACATAATTACAACGAACAACAACAACAACAACAACATCATCGACAACAACAATGACGACGACGACAACAACATCAACAACAACAAACACCATAAAACGGTCCACGGTTAGCACACGTTTTAATTTAAGAAGAAACTCTACAGATATCTGTTCTTCGAGTCAACGTTCTAGGTCCTCAGATGGAACTGAATCAAAAACAATATCACGCACGATCTTAGCCCGAGAGGTATACCAGATTGTCCAGTTGTCATCTGAGCTGATACGAGGAAAAAATCACAATCCAACCCAAAACAAAACAAAAATAGCAGCAGTTTTACTGCCCTGAGTCAGGACGTAATTGGCGTTGCAAACACTGAAGTTGGAACAAAGTCAACCAGTCATTGTAAAAGCCAGCTAGGGTCCTGCTATGTTTATGTCGTCTCCACAATTAGATCATTCAGGATCAAGTCATTGTAAAAGCCAGCTAGAGTCCTGATGTGTTTATGCCATCTTCACAATCCAATCATTCAGGAACAAGTCATTGTAAAAGCTAGCTAAGGTCCTGCTGTGTTTTTGCCATATCCACAATTAGATCATTCAGGATAAAGTCAGTGTAAAAGCTAGCTAGAGTCCTGTTGGGTTAATGCCATTCCATTATGTGTTGTTTGCTGTAGACTGAATAAATACGGACACATGAAAGACGTTTGCCAAAAACTGATTGAAATGTAA